CCATGCCAAGTGGCTTATTTCTTCGCTATAGCCTGCATAACCTATTTCAATAAATATGTTATAAACAATGTACAGAATGCAAGAGAACAATGTAGACAGAGCTAAGATTTCTACCAAAGCAGTGCAAAATGTCTAGTCAGAAATATATAATAAAAATTCTCTCTCAAAGTCGTATACAGTGCCTTGCAAAATTATTCATCCCCCTTGGCGTTTTTCCTATTTTGTTGCATTACAACCTGTAATTTAAATGTATTTTTATTTAGAATTTCATGTAATGGAAATACACAGAATAGTACAAATTGGTGAAATGAAAAAAATAACTTGTTTCAAAAAATTCTAAAAAATAAATAACGGAAAAGTGGTGCGTGCATATGTATTCACCCCCTTTGCTATGAAGCCCCTAAATAAGATCTGGTGCAACCAATTATCTTCAGAAGTCACATAATTAGTTAAATAAAGTCCACCTGTGTGCAATCTAAGTGTCACATGATCTCAGTATATATATACAGTGATCCCTCGCCACTTCGCGGTTCACTTATCGCGGATTCGCTATTTCGCGGATTTTCATAATGCATTTTTTTTTTTTGGTGCATTGTGCTCTGCATTCTGATTCGCTAAAAACTCACTCCCGCTTCTTGTATCAAAACATGCTACGAATTGTGCTATCATTTTGTCGTCTCGTGCAGTTATGTGTACGTACATAAAACAGCTTGGCAAATTTACATTAAGTTGGCCAAATTATCTTGTAATTTCGAACATCTCCTAAACCCATAATGTCGACGAAACGGCCTGGACCGACAAAAGCACCTGCGGATGGGCCCAAACGGCGGAAGATGCTACCTATCTCAGATAAAGTTAAACTTCTGGACATGCTAAGGGAAGGTAAAAGCTATGCAGCCGTTGCTCGCCATTACGGAATCAATGAATCTTCCGTTCGTTACATAAAGAAGGAGGAAAAAAAACATAAGGACGACAGCAGCAGTCAATGAGGAGGAAGGACTAACGCTTGGTCGCTTAGCAACCATGGTGCGAATGGCCACTGAACTTAAGCGAGTAGCTGAGGAATGGGACCCTTTGATGAGCCGTTCATTACAGTTCTCCAACGTAATCGATGGTGGCATGTCGGTGTACAAGGATCTTTTTGCAAAGAAGAAAAAAGAGCGACAACAGCTGCCTATCACTATGTTCTTCTCCCGAACAAACACACCTGCACCGCGGGCTTCAGAAGAAGAGAACACTGCAGAGCGCAGTCAGGATGCAGCGGCCCAGTCTGAAGAGCAGTGAAACGGCCTACACGTGAGTCACTGTATTTGTATACATGTAATAGTTGCTAATTGTAAAAAAAAAAAGTTTTCTATTTCGCGGATTTCACTTATCGCGGGTCATTTTCGGAACGTAACCCCCGCGATAAACGAGGGATTACTGTACACCTGTTCTGAAAGGCCCCAGAGTCTGCAACACCACTAAGCAAGGGGCACCACCAAGCAAGCGGCACCATGAAGACCAAGGAGCTCTCCAAACAGGTCAGGGACAAAGTTGTGGAGAAGTACAGATCAGGGTTGGGTTATTAAAAAATATCCGAAACTTTGAACATCCCACGGAGCACCATTAAATCCATTATTAAAAAATGGAAAGAATATGGCACCACAACAAACCTGCATGGTGGTGGCAACATCATGCTGTGGGGATGTTTTTCCATCGGCAGGGACTGGGAAACTGGTCAGAATTGAAGAAATGATGGATGGTGCTAAATACAGGGAAATTCTGGAGGGAAACCTGTTTCAGTCTTCCAGAGATTTGAGACTGGGACGGAGGTTCACCTTCCAGCAGGACAATGACCCTAAGCATATTGCTAAAGCAACACTCGAGTGGTTTAAGGGGAAACATTTAAATGTCTTGGAATAACCTAGTCAAAGTCCAGACCTCAATCCAATTGAGCATCTGTGGTATGACTTAAAGATTGCTGTACACCAGCGGAACCCATCCAACTTGAAGGAGCTGGAGCAGTTTTGCCTTGAAGAATGGGCAAATATCCCAGTGGCTAGATGTGCCAAGCTTATAGAGACATATCCCAAGAGACTTGCAGCTGTAATTGCTGCAAAAGGTGGCTCTACAAAGTATTGACTTTGGTGGGGTGAATAGTTATGCAAGGTATTTTTTTGGTCTTATTTCTTGTTTGTTTCACAAAAAATAATATTTTGCATCTTCAAAGTGTTGTGTAAATCAAATTATACAAACCCCCAAAAAATCCATTTTAATTCCAGGTTGTAAGACAACAAAATAGGAAAAATGCCAATGGGGGTGAATACTTTCGCAAGCCACTGTATTGACTCAAGGGTGTGAATACTTATGGAAATTAGATGTTTTATGGGTACTTAATTTTTTTAAACATTTTTTGTCATTTAGCAGACGCTCTTATCCAGAGCGACTTACAGTTAGTGAGTGCATACATTATTATTTATTTATTTTTATACTGGCCCCTGTGGGAATCGAACCCACAACCCTGGCGTTGCAAACGCCATGCTCTACCAACTGAGCTACATCCCTGCCGGCCATTCCCTCCCATACCCTGGACAATTGTGCGCCGCCCCATGGGTCTCCCGGTCACGGCCGGCTACGACAGAGCCTGGATTCGAACCAGGATCTCTAGTGGCACAGCTAGCCTTAGACCACTGCGCCACTCGGGAGGCACCCACTCGGGAGGATTAATCATGATAGGACTCAGGTTGACATCACCCAACCCTAGTTAGCTACAGTAGTTAGCTACTGCCATCAAGTTGTTGTTGTGTGAATATCATATTCTGCCTATTCCACCGTTTGTAGGATGCATACTGGTTTTTGAACATAGCACGGGAAAAGGGAATCGGGCACAATGTGGACATGGTGGACACATTTAAAATGTAGGTGTAGACCAGCGGTATTCAAAATCAACTGCAATGGGGTTGCCAAAATAAAACTATTAATCATTTTAAAAAGAGTACCGATTATTGTATGGGATCAATATACAAATGTTTATAAGAGAAAGATAACTTGAAGAATACAATTTGACTGAGTAAATGTATTTATTGGTTTATTTTAATTTTGATAAGAGATGAAAATGCAATGAATTTAAGGTTATTTATTGATGTAAAATACAAATAAAAATGTAGCGATTTTAAGGTTGTGTCATTAGATTTGGGGTGGGGTCACAATAAATTATTTTGGAAAAAAAATGGGTGTAGACACATGATGTATTCGGAATTCTATGATCAGAACTTCATGATCATAATACAAAAACTGCATTAACTGTCAAGTCTAGACACGGCCAGAGAGAGGGAAACAGAGAGGGGGGAGAGAAAAGAGAGAGAAAGAATGAAAGACCAAGGGAGGGAGCGAGAAAGCGCTGCTGAAGAGATAGAGAGAAAAGAAGAGAGATTGAGAAAGACAGAAAGAACTGATGAGGAGATATGGAGGGAAGGAGAGAGAGATTAGGGAGGGAAAGAGTCTGTGTGCCACAGCAGATAGGGCAATTGCAATTCTCCCAGAAAGAGAGAGACAGAGATAGAGAGAGAACTGCAACGCATGTTCCCATTTCGTCAGCAGTTATGTTCAGGCTCTGAACTCATGATCCTCAGCCACACAGTATCAGATTAGAATAACTATTTCATAACTGTTGACGCATTCCCTCACGGGAAGCTGACGGCATTCCCCTCATATCTAGCTATAATACATTCTTCAATGGATGATCAATTGAAAAGGACTGTAGATTTAAAAGAGCTGACTTTTAAGACTTTCCTTTGCACAACAAAACAACTTTTCTGAAGAAAGGCATTTTTACCTGTGTGACATAACAGTACCGTATGTCTGTCTGTCTTTCTGTAAGTGGTTTATACTGGAAACTTGTCATTAGGCTTGTTTTTGTCCTTTCAAGAGACACAGCTGAGAATACTGTACTCACAGAGCCCTTAGAGCACACACAAAGAGACAGAGGATGAGTGAGTGTGTGAGAGAAGAAGAAGGAAGAGAAGGTAGGTTAAAATGGGATGAGACCCAACAAAACCCAACCAAACCCTAATATTCCACTCTTTACCATATCTATGTGTGTGTACGTGTACGTGTACACTACCGTTCAAAAGTTTGGGGTCACTTAGAAATGTCCTTGTTTTTAAAATAACATCAAATTGATCAGAAATACAGTGTAGACATTGTTCATATTGTAAATGGCTATTGTAGCTGGAAACGGCTGATTTTTTATGGAATATCTACATAGGCGTTCTCGCATAGAATAGCCTTAATTTCTCAGAACAAGAATAGACTGACGAGTTTCAGAAGAAAGTTATTTGTTTCTGGCCATTTTGAGCCTGTAATTGAACCCACAATTGCTGATGCTCCAGATACTCAACTAGTCTCAAGAAGGCCAGTTTTATTCATTTTTACATTACATTTTAGTCATTTAGCAGACGCTCTTATCCAGAGCGACTTACAGGAGTTTTTTCTTTAATCAGCAAAACAGTTTTCAGTTGTGCTAACATAATTGCAAAAGGGTTTTCTAATGATCAATTAGCCTTTTAAAATTATAAACTTGGAATAGCAAACACAACGTGCCATTGGAACACAGGACTGATGGTTGCTGATAATGGGCCTCTGTACGCCTATGTAGATATTCCATAAAAAAAATCAGCCATTTCCAGCTACAATAGCCATTTACAACATTAACAATGTCTACACTGTATTTCGGATCAATTTGATGTCATTTTAATGGACAAAACAGTGCTTTTCTTTCGAAAACAAGGACATTTCTAAGTGACCCCAAACTTTTGAACGGTAGTGTATGTGTGTGTGTGTGTGTGTGTGTGTGTGTGTGTGTGTGTGTGTGTGTGTGTGTGTGTGTGTGTATATGTATGTGTGTATGTGTAAGTGTGTGTGTGTGTGTGTGTGTCCAGACAGCTCTCCATCCTCACCATGTGTATAGGTGTGCTGGTCAGGTCCCTCTCTGTGACAAGTCGGTCCTGGTCAGTGACGTACAGTCCCTTCTGTGCCAGGGCCTGGATGATGGCGTTGTGTCCCAGCAGAGGTTTGACGGCATCGCTGCGGAGGATGAGGCTCCCCGCCCGGCAGTAGAGCTCTGCAGACAGCAGCAGGCATGCCACGGGGGGCTTCAGGTGCTCTTGGTTGTACTGGTCCCTGTAGAAGGGGTCCGCCAGCTCTTCTGGGACCGCATCTGTGGAGGGAGAGATGAGGGGTTAGTGTGGTGATACGATTAACATAGTTTCTCTGAAAGAGGGAGCCGGATTAGTTTGGGGATATGATAACTGTCATCTGGGGATGTGTCTGTGGAGAGAGTGGGTACGGGTAGAGCTGTGACGATAAACCCCAAATTATCGACACTTACCATACCGATCTCTTATCACAGGCATTATGATAAGTAGCCTATACTAGAGAAATGTGAAGTTTGAAATAAGTTAGTATGGGTGATTGTTAATGGGACAATTTGATAGCTACAACCATCAAAACTAGTAGTAGTAGTTTAAAGGATACTTTTTTTAAACTGTGGTGCACATTAATGTTATAAACTTAGCGTTCTATTTATCATTATCGCATCAATTCAGGCAATTTATCGCAATATGGATTTTTGTCCATTACGCCCAGCTCTAGGTATGGGTTAGTGTGTAGATTTCATAAACAGAGTAAAAGCACCCGTTTCTCTGGAGGGCATCTGTGGAGGATGTGAGGATACATTACAGTCAGCTCAATTTGGGTTGTGTCTGTGGAGAGAGGGGGAACAGGCTAGTTTGGTGATACAATAACTGACAATACAGTCATGACTGTACTGGCCCCTGCAGAATGGGTCCACTGTGATGGCAACAGGCGTGCCTGTGCGAGCCCCACTCTCCCATTGCACACATGCTTCTCTCACACACAGATCTTAGACCTTCTCCACTGACGGTGTGTTTAAGAGTGTGTGTGCATGTGTTAGGCTTGGGCGGTATATAAATTATCTCCAGCTCAGGAATCCAGCTATGCATTTGATTTTCTAACTTACTAGCTAAGTGGCTAGCTTGCAAGACTAAGCTTCTTTGTAAAGAAATAGCACCCCTTGTGTGCACTGACGGTAATATTGTTACACCGGTATGGTACCGCCCAACCCTAGTGTGTGTGTGTGTGTGTGTGTGTGTGTGTGTGTGTGCGAGTGAGTGAGTGAGACAGAGAGAGGCTATTCTTTGTCTGTTGTCTATTGACTCACATGCTACATCTGATTTACTTTATCTTTAAAATAGCCAGATACACACACACACACACACACAATAGACTTGTCTGCACTCAAACTCTGGGGCAAAAAGTACACCACTTTTTGCTCTTCTCTCGTGTGTGCCATCACATGATGAGTCAAGAGTTCCCGAGAGCGTTTTTGAGGCAGAGAAAGGGGCGGAGCGGGTTGAAAGTAGGGCTGGGAATTGCCAGGGACCTCACGATACGATATTATCACGACACTTGGGTGCCGATACGATATGTATTGCGATCCTCACAATTCTATATGTATTACGATTCGATACTGCAATTTTATTGTGATTTGATGTTCCAAACACATTGCTCTGTATATGTCTGCCGCAGAGAGACAAGAGAGCATGAGAAAATGTGTTTTGATTAGTCATGGAAATAAAAGTGCTGAAAACATGCTCACTATTTAAAGTGGAACAGACAGCATTTTAGCTAAATAAAATCGTATTAAAATCTGTTCATATACACCCCCAGGAAGAATATGACTTTTTTTTTTTTTTTACATTTTCTGTCATGCGAGTACTTAGATATTGTCATTTTCACATTTTCATAAATTCTTAGAATGTTTGGGAATTACGTATACTAAGGCATTTGTGAAAATTCTATAGCAATATAGAGTGGGAAAGCGGCCGTGCGTTTGGACAATTAACTGCAGTAAATAAAACCATCTGTCTCATCCAGAGTCGACGCAGACCAGTGCGCCATAGCCAATCAGCGCTACAGTAGGCCTTTATTTGCCACACAGGCCTGCCATCATTCACTTTGAATTGGACTGTGTGTTTACAGGCAGTTGCAACAGTGCGACTTAGGATCATTAGAACACACTCGCCAAAAGCCACAAAATAGACCTGAATGGATTTCTGCAAATATGTCAATACCACTTGGGAGTCCTCTTACATTTGGGAACTTTACAGTCCTATTGATCAAACAACCATGAAAAGGTGGGCTCTCTCTCCCTCAGTTATGCACATCAACGACAAAAAGATCAACAAGTAATGCTAGCCAGAGAAAGATGAGCTAAAATCTAATGAAGGAACATTAGATAAACCCTCTCAAACTTTTTCAGTTAGTTGGCCATCAAAATTGCACTGATAAACGATGTTGAATTGTATCCTACTCGTCCTTCTGCAGCTTGCCTGCCAACAATGCATGCTCGTCCCAACCAAGCACGCAAAGCTAACTGGCTAAAGTCGGCTAGCTTGCTAGCTACTTCCAGACACAAATGAGAGAACACCTTACTCTGAACATTTTACTCGCCCTAGCAGAGCTGGTTAGGCTGTTTACATGTTATCTAGAGCATTTGTGACTAACTATTACTTTCTTTGCCTATGTTTACTGACACCGGTCAGTTATATTCAGTGGGTGTTGCGTTACTAAATTCATCAGTTATTCTGCGCTCTGGCACACTGAGATGAGAGTGCTCTGAAATTGGAGTAGATAGCTAGAGTGAATTTGTGAACGCAAGCGATATACTAACTGGATAACAGTCATTCAAGTTCTTGCTAGCTAACCAAATGATACCTGCATCTCAAGCTGTGTGAAGTATTTGTTTACTAATCTATATAATATTGTCCAAAATAATATTGTGACATGTAACTGTATCGATTTCCCCCAATCCCTAGTTGAAAGGGTGTGTATGGGGTAATGAGGGTGTTTGTGGTGTGTGTGTGTGTGTGTGTTCCTGGTGTGCGTGGGGTCATTTCCTCTCGCCATGGCTGTGAATCACAGGTGCAAACAGGGGGAAACAGGAGACAGCGCAGGCATCTTAACCCTTTGACGGGTACGATCACATATTTGTGACCATTCTTGAGTGGTCCCAGCAGCATACCATCGCAAATACGTGATTGGAACAGTAGTAACAGAACATATGATGCAACAAACACGTCTAAACAACATTGTTGTCTGAAAAGCACCTAAAATAAAAGGATTTCACAACTTTATTTCTAAATGTCACCTTTTATTGTAAAGGATAAATGCGAACTTCATCATCATATTTTGAAATTGACAAGTTGAAACATAGCCTATAGATAATTGGCAGGCAGCATGCCTTGGTTTGAGGCAGTGTGGGTTAACTGTCCTGTTGCTTAACAATCACATTTTGGAACAGTGAGTGTATTCTGACATTACGTGCATAAGAAAACTCACGCTGGGGGCGACCGTTAGAGATATTTGGAACTCACACGTGAAAAGGTTAAAGGTACAGCCCTCCTTTCCATTATCCTCCATCTAATAGTCCTTAATCCGTCCAATAGGCTTAATTTATTTTCGCCCGATTGAAAATCTATTCTTGAACCTACCCTAGACAAGGTCTACTCGGCCTGGATGGTAGACTGGCGAGAAGAAACAGGGATGTGCAGTGGACACTGTAGCCTACTTGTATGAAAGGCAGAGACGTGTACGCATACAATATATTTTTTACAGGGGGTAAAAAAATAAAAAATAATAGCCTAATTTTGATATTTTTCTGTGTATAATTTCCGACATAAGTGAGGACTCTTCACCCCCTACTCTGCCTATCAGTAAATTACATTTCTTCCAAGGAGGGTTCAGAAGCTAATTTCTAAGGTGTTTTTTTACCCAGAGAGATGAAGTGGGCTATTTAAGACAATGACGGGTGTTTACCACTCCAACAACCACTTAACAGCCAGTCACTTCAGCAGCTAGTCACAACAACTGTCTGTCCCTACTATAAAGTCCCCATACTGTCCCCACTCCCCACTATAAAACCACCTCATAACCCTGAGAGGGTGGACAAAAGCTCCTATGACCTCACATAGCCTCCTAAAACAGCAACAATACCAAAAACAGTCGTAACACTGTCTACTACACATCTTTCTCTGGACGGTACATTACGCTTTACAATGTTAACAGACTCTTGCAATATAAGTGCTGCTAGAAGAAATAGTGCTATAAAGAACCAAACAGGGGTGCTATGGCTTGGTTCATATGGCCCTCAAATATTTTCTAGAAGATCAACAAAACACCCTTATTTTTAACAGTGTGGAGTGCAGATGCAACCTTTACAGAGTAAGCAGGTATTCGTTTTCCACAAGTTCATCAAAAGCTGCCGCGTCAAGGAAAACCTAGCTCCTTTGTGTCGACCATCAAACAGGAAATAGACAGGAAGTAGCTGTCACAGGAAGTCCAAACACGGGACCTGGAATATATCGACCGTTATCGTGCCGACCACAGGAAGTCGTCCAATTGGAGCACAGCACAGGGAGGGAACATTAAAGAATGTACACCAGTCAGCAACATTACTTTTCTGTTACTATGCAGTTATTACTTTCTTAGAAACCTGTGCAGCCTATATTGGCAGTTGATAATGTCTGATTCAAAACGTGGGCTAGTTCGCTGAGAAATAACTTGATATATTTTAGCAGTGGCTTTCAGAGGTAATATTTTTGTTCAGTTGCTCACTATGTAAATTAATGTTGGACTACTTATTTTCCAATGCAGTACGAACATCAATTAAGTCAGACCAAAGCAGACCAGAGCTGTTGTCACTCACATTGATTGTGGCTGATGAATTCACACGTTATTAGACTAATGAGTGTTAGTGCCCAGAGCCAGTATGTAAAGCTGAAGCATCTTCTGTTGGTCCTTCCCTCGGGCCCAGTCCCCAGCCTGGAGGCCCCTGCATTGTGATGTAACTGAGACAAATGTTGTCACTCTGACTGGGTCTCTACCATGTCAACACACCACAGATGTTACAGAGATAGGAGAAGAGTAGGGTCTGTGGAGAGCACCATCTATAACAGCCGCTCACAAAGCATTTTAGACACATGCATGCACACATTTTATTTTATTTTATGTTTTAACCCTATCCCAAACCTTAACCCTAATCTACTTTCACTTCACCCATAGACGAGAAAGAGAGAGAGAGCGCGAGAGAGAGCATTGGGACCTAGTCAGTGATCCTGTACAGACAGGAAAGCAGAAAACACAGATGCCTTTGGTCAAAATTAGTCATATTAGAGGAAAATATTTAGTGAGTGTGTATGTGTCCGTACATGCTCTTGTGATCACGCTTATAGTCCTTACCTGTGTGTAGGCTATATTTCAGTTGATCTACATCAGTGATCAGTATGCATTTTGAATGGGAGAGATTGTTTTTAATTTTCTGCATTACGTGGGTCAAACTACTGTCAGAACCATAGTAACTAGACCAAACGTGGCTGTGTGTGTAAACTAAGACTTGGTTGATGAATTGGGCCACAGTTCTCATGGTGCTGGAAGGGAGCAGTAATGTGTGTCACCAGGAGGGACAGGAAAAAACAACCCAGTCCTGGTATGCTAATAGCCTGTAGTCCTCTACGGCAGAGTGGTGAGGCGAGGGGAGCAGTTGACAGGGCTTTCCACCATAGAGAGCGCTTTCCACCATTTTATACACTTGAGAAAAGCTTACAAACGACATGCTGGAAACTATAGGAGGGGCTAGCTAGTCTATGTGCAGCAGGCTATAGCATAGTGTCGTGTGGCCATTGAAAGTGAGAATCCTTGGCTCCCAAGGCTAGCTATAGCATAACCCCTCTCTTGCTCTCTCTCTGTCCATTATTACTGTACACAGACTGAGCGGATGGTAGTGAAACGTCATTAGAGAGCTGGAGTCAGTCAACCTGAGCCACTGAGCCAGCCAGCTAGAATGACTGACTTTATAGGGCTGCTGCTGCCTACTGCCTCCTGGCCAAGGCCAAGCCTTTTTCCCCAACTACACTGGAGCTACCCTGGTAGCAGCCTCTAATATAGGCCAAGTGTTGCCCGTCATCCAGAAACAACTGGAAATGGTCCTCTGAATGTTTTCTGTTCAGAATAGATTCTATTCTAATTTCAACCACCCAGTGAAGTAACAACTGTGTTATTGTCAATGGTCAAATCACATGGATTGATCTAATTAAGCAATAAGGCCCGAGGTGGTGTGGTATATGGCCAATATACCAGAGCTAAGGGCTGTTCTTATGCGCGACGCAACACAGAGTGCCTGGATACAGCCCTTAGCCATGGTATATTGGCCATATACCACAAACCCTGAGGTGCCTTATCACTATTATAAACTGGTTACCAACGTATTTAGAAGAGTAAAAAGTCTTTGTTTGTCATACTCATGGTATACAGTCTGATATACCATGGCTTTCAGCCAATCAGCATTCAGGGATCAAACCACCCAGATCATAGTACTGTAGATGGTCCAACAACCTGTATAGGGCCATGTGGCCATTACTGTGAACATCAGGGACCAGCTGCAGTAGCTGATCAATCAAATGTCACAGACATCAATGCAGATGGGAGAATAAGTACATGATCAACAACAGCAACAGCGTCCTCTGCCGTGTTCATAACAGACAAATCTGAGATATTGGACAAATGCGCAACAGTTAGTCTGCCCATCACCTGCACTTCTCCTCAGACACAGACCGTCAATTAGAGCGCCCAAGTGTGACTAATTCAATTACTAATTAGCATGTTTAATTATCGCTCGTGGTGAAGATGATGTTTCAACAAGGCTATTGAGGTCAAATATCACATTTTTAACACAGATAAGACATGCTCTCTTGGACCATCGGGAGTATCGAGGTTAATTATGATAAGCCCTCTGAAGATGTGCGCACTGACACAATTTGTCAAAATGTTGCATCAAATTTGACACATTTCCACCCCAATATTCAGAAAACTAAAAAAGGCGCCACCTACCTGAGCCGAAGGCTTTGGCCACAAGCCATGTCAAGCTACTGTATATTTTGGCCCTTGTGAAATCATAGTGATCAAAAGCCTTGATCGAGGGGACGATAAAGGTTCGCCTCAACCCCTTGGTATCTGCCGCATTACTCATCTTCACGCCTGGCTCGCTCGGCCTCCGTTACCGAGAGGGAGATGGTCAGTTAGCTCGTGGAATTCTACCGGAGGCAGATGACATCCCGTCCAAAGGAATTCGATGCAGCAAAAATGTTCTTTCCGTTCAAACTTTAAATGCGTTATCTAGCCGAATACCGACTGGACACCGATATAATTCCTCACACCCAGATGTGTTGTGGCTCCTTCCCACGGTCCTTACAAGTTAACCGTTTTTATTTCCATGTGTCGGATACTCTCAGTACGAGACGAGAATTCCAGCCAGGCAACTGCAGTAGTTTGGGGAATTTTCATCCATTGATTCCCTGACATTATCTTCAGGTTGCCAAGCATACAGTGGATATGTCTATCTACGAAACGGGTCGCGCATTTGCCCGACTTCTATTCGCAGGAATAGTTAAATTATAAATTATAAGTTAACGGAAAAGGTTGTCCTTGTCCGGAATTGTTCTTCTTTATAAGTGTTTTTATTTTTTCCTCTCCCTCAATCTCGGCGGCGTCTCCCCTGCGCTTTTCCTGCCGCACTCCTCAAAGGCGAGCGCCCCCAGTGCGCATGCGCGGTCCACCCAGCAGTTCCACAGACACTGCTGGATACAGCGTATCAAGTATCCAGTGAAATTCCCGCAGCACGCGTTTCCTTCGCACTTGGAATGCCAGTAGCCCTACACTCATTATCCCCCAAAATCTCTATAAATCTAAGTCTACTACAACAATTACTTTTGATGTAGTTATGCTGCGTTGAAGGAAACTTGTTTGCCAACATGGTTACTTTTGGTCATATAGCCCATGTGATTAGGAGCTTGGATTACTTACATTAACTGTGATGACCTAAAGAGGACGTATAGGGTGGTATACTGTATTAATCAACGCAATGTGAATCCCAGTGCTGTGAAATTATATAATATAATCTTTATTTAACCTTTCGGTTCTATAATTATAATATATGCCATTTAGAAGACAATTTTATCCCAAGCGACCTACAGTCATGCCTGCATACATTTTGTTAGTCTCATCACGATAACATATATTTTTCAAAATCCCTGGGAATAGGACTGGAGAATCTCAATGGAGATGTAGCTGCTGATCCCACATCAGTTGTAGCAAGCAGAACACGAGAGACTTGAGGTAAAGGCAGGGATGAGGTGTTCTGATCCTGAATCAGTGGTTTGGGTTTAGGGCAGAGAAGGCTTTGGGTGAAGACAGTTAAAACAATAAGGCATTTCAGACAGGAAGTGGTGGGGTTGCTGGCCGCCCATGCTGTTGCGTATCTACCCCAGGGGCTGCTGGGTAATGAATGCACCACCCTCTTTCTTATAAGACCAATCACACTGCCTTTTAAATTCAAGTTTGTTTAGTTGTTATATACATATGATTTCCATGGAGTAAGTACACAGTTCAACGAAATGCGTACTTGCAGGTTCACCGCTCGACAATGCAACAACAATAGGAAAGTAAGTGAATAAAAGAGTAATAGCAATAAAAGATCAATGAATGAAAATAGGATACAAATTAGGCAAACATTTTATTCAGAGAAGACTGACGCCTGGCGTACAGTCCCCTGTAGCTCAGTTGGTAGAGCAAGGCGCTTGCAACGCTAGGGTTGTGGGTTCGTTTCCCACAGGGGGCCAGTATGAAAATGTATGCACTCACTAACTGTATGAACATGTATGCACTCACTAACTGTATGAACATGTATGCACTCACTAACTGTAAGGCGCTCTGGATAAGAGCGTTTGCTAAATGACTAAAATGTAAAAATGCGTACAGCTCTCCTCCCTCTCTTTCTCTCTCGTTCTGTCTTTCTTTCTCGTTCTATGGCTCCTCCTCTTTCAGACACAAATGGAAGTAATTTACTCTGCTTCCCATAAAGGCTCCTCCCACTCTTTACACACACACACACAAAAGTAACCTAGCGGTTAGAGCATTGGGCCAGTAATTGAAAGGTCGCTAGTTTGAATCCCAGAGCCGACGATGTGAAAAATCTGTCGATGTGCCCGTGAGCAAGGCACTTAACCCTAATCGCTCCACGCTGCTGATAATGGCTGACTCTGCCGTGACCTCACTCTCTGAGGCTGTCTCAGGGGAAAATGGGATATGCATAAAACACATTTTGAAATAAGCACCTGCCAAATTCTTCTAAAGACACACATTGTGTTATGTTTTATTTTTCTGATCTTATTATTTCAATACTACAGTGAAGAATATTGTGCAAAGCATGTAGAATATATGTCACGTGGGCCTATTAACTGCAGCCTTGTCCACCATAGAGAGTCAATTTTAGTCATTTAGCAGACGCTCTGTTCCAGAGCAATTTACAGTATTGAGTGGACACATTTTCGTACTGGTCCCCCGTGGGAATCCAACCCACAACCCTGGCATTGCAAGAGCCATGCTCTACCAACTGAGCCACACAGGACCACTATAGAGGGGTTACCTGGATGATTGTGCAGTTTGCAGTGCATTTCAGCAAAACTCACACACTGACATGTTACACCATTGCCTCCCAGTGGTCAGTGTTGGTACATACAGCGTTTAACTTTGATGGGACTTTTTTATTCAATGCCCAGTAGATGGCAGTCCATAGCTACTTATTACATCAAAACTTCCACATCAGTTATCCCACTGAACCCAGTTTGGATATCTGTTCCAGAATGCTTCAACAACGCCAAAGGGAATGGCGTATTCTGTTGAAAATGGGGCATTTACAGAACAATATGTGTATGTTGATTTGATTTGATGTATATTGTGTTGTGGTGCGTGAAGTATTTTGAGAAAATGAGGTGTGGTTAGCGCCTGCTTTAGTGTGTTTTAATCTCTGGGCTTTGTACTGTTTAACTGTAGGCCTATACTATTTTACACCAAATATAAATCATATCAATCTTAACACACACACACACACACACACACACACACACACACATTTACAATAGGACTACAGCTTCAGGATCCTCCTCACACTCATACGGCCTTAAAGAACTTGCCAACTCATCAGTTCTTATTAGGGTCAGTCCCTTTACAAAGTGACACATTCTCCTAACAGATGTATTACTCAGCCTTGCAGTCTGATGGCCTTAAGCCTGAGGCTCAATACTGTAGCTCTACAGCATAAACAGGCAACAAATGCCGCTTCTGCAGTTTCACAACCTTTTCTGCAGCCATTTCAGCATCGTATGGCTTAGGCTATAACAGGTCATCTTAGTTTATAATAATAATAGTATGGCATTTAACAGACGCTTTTATCCAAAGCGACTTACAGTCATGTGCGCATACATTTTTACGTATGGGTGGTCCCAGGGATCGAACCCACTACCCTGGCGTTACAAGCGCCATGCTCTACCAATTGAGCTACAGAGGACCACGGTTTAGGCCAATAACAGGCTATTATATGCAATACCACTATTATTACATTAACTATCAGTCCACACACACACACACAATGGACATACAATGCACCCACACCATGCACTTGATTGAAAATACAATCAGCAAATAATCAATAACACTTTTTGAATTAGTCAAACTTGTATAGCATTCTCATTGTCATTTGTATGTAATAACAGATTACATGTTAATACCTTGCTAAAATGCTAAAATGACCAATTCAAGCCTACATTGTCTTACATAGTATATTATTGTGACATTGTGGTGTATGTTGTGTATGTTCTGAGCGTGGGAGAGAGACCTGGGGGGGGGGGGGGGGGGGGGGGGGCAGCTAGGGGTCACGTATAAGAGGCTTTGGTGGAGACGTGAAAAGGGGGCCCTTTTCTTGGTAAGAGAATTAGGATAAAAGAGGTATGATGGGGATACTCTCTTTCTTAATCTGTCTCGCTCACTCTCTCCATCTCTCCCACAGTCACTGCATCATCCCACTTCAACACGAGATAGAGGGAAAGAAAGATACAAAGACAGACGTAGATATAGAGCGAGAGAAAGGGATACAAAGACAGTCAAGAAAGATAGGTAAAATCGATATTTTGCCTCTTTAGAATGCAGCATAAGAAAGAGGCCACAGAGGAGCCTGCTCTTTCTCAGGTCCTCATTCATCACACATGCTAAGAAAATTTAACACACTCACTCCTGACAGGCCAACACACCATCACATACACACCATCATACACACATACTCAGACAAGCACTCACACACACACACCATCATACACACGCACACACAAGCTCATGTATTCACACGCATATACAGTACCAGTCAAAAGTTTGGACACACCTACTCATTCAAGGGTTATTCTTTATTTTTTACTATTTTCTACATTGTAGAATAATAGTGAAGACATCAAAATATGAAATAACCCTAAGGAATCATGTAGTAACCAAAAAAGTGTTAAACAAATCAAAATATATTTTAGATTTTAGATTCTTCAAAGTAGCCACCCTTTGCCTTGATGACAGCTTTGCACACTCTTGGCATTCTCTCAACCAGCTTCATGAGGAATGCTTTTCCAACAGTCTTGAAGGAGTTCCCACATATGTTGAGCACTTGTTGGCTGCTTTTCCTTCATTCTGCGGTCCAACTCATCCCAAACCATCTCAATTGGGTGGAGGTCGGGTGATTGTGGAGGCCAGGTCATCTGATGCAGCACTCCATCACTCTCCTTCTTGGTCAAATAGCCCTTACACAGCCTGGAGGTGTGTTTTGGGTCACTGTCCTGTTGAAAAACAAATGATAGTCCCACTAAGCTCAAACCAGATGGCGTATCGCTGCAGAATGCTGGGTAAGTGTGCTTTGAATTCTAAATAAATCACTAACAGTGTCACCAGCAAAGCACCCCCACACCATCACACCTCCTCCTCCATGCTTCACGGAGGGAACCACACATGCGGAGATCATCCGTTCACAAAAGACACAGCGGTTGGAACCAAAAATCTCAAATCTCTATGTTTCTTGGCCAAAGCAAGTCTTTTCTTTTTATTGGTGTCCTTAAGTAGTGGTTTCTTTGCAGCAATTCAACCATGAAGGCCTGATTC